GCCACGCTAGTAGTAACAGGTGCCTTACTAGTAGTAACAAGAAGCTACTACTTCTTTTGCTGGTTCACACTTACTCCACCTCTTGCAGGTGCCGGGCTTCGTAGAGGCAGTGCTTCAGTCGGCCCACGCGAACGAGCACGGCTTCGACCTCCGGGACGCGGCGCTGATGGTCCAGATGCCCAGATGGATGGAGGGATATGCCCTTGTTACTAGCTATTTATTCCTAGTAAGGCCAGCCCCTTGCTTCTACTACGTCCTTGCTTCTAGTAGCGATGCCAGGAGCTACTAGTAGCTTATTGTTCCTAATGGAAAAGGATGGACCTCAGAAGGTTGGACACATCAACATGGTCAGCGAAGCCAGAGATTGTAATTGGCTTGTGGCCTCAGATGCTGATTTGGGGTGAAGCATGGGTGCATGGGGCAGTGCTTGCTGCATGTGCGGCTGTGGCGATTACCGTTTCTTTTGGATCAAGAGTGCCTTGAGCAATCAAATTCCGGCGGTGTTTGCGAATCTCCATTGTGTTGCCATGCAGCTCCTGAAGCTTTGCATGCTGGTGATGTTGTCCGCGCATGCGCTAAGAAAGGATGAAGATCATGCGCAGATCCAAATGGCTGACTTTGTAAATGAGGAGATGGGATTGATGTCTTGCAAGATATTTACATATATTTACTGCATTTCTACTTGACTTGTTCTTGGATAGCAGACGACAGTGTTTGAGGATGTGTGCAGTTTGTTGGTTTGTACTCTTTCTTTTCTTGATCTGGCTTTACAGACAACGGTCCTCACAGTCCTCACAAAATTGAAGAGGACATGGTGAAAGCTTCATGCTGCGCTGATAAAACTGAGACGAACTCTACAAACTGTGGATGGATCCGGGATTCTACGGAGTGCGACAAGCGCAGCGAGTATTGCTATTGGAAGCCGGATGGATGCTGATCTTAGAGCGAGAAGCAATGTCTCGTGCTGGCCTTGCGAGCAAAAAGTGAGCCGAGGGAGAGCAATGTTCGCATGCTTCAATTCCAAGAACTCTTTTCTGAAAGCCTTGATCTTGATCTTGAGATCTTGAAGCATAGACCTTGATCTTGACCCTTCCACACCGGTTCATCAGGTCGGTACCTTGGAGCAGCTGATCTTCGATTCCGAGAGCACCCTGCTCGAGAAGGCGCCAAAGTCGTGGATAGTTTGGTAAAGTAGTTCGGTTGACATGGACTGACTGAACAATGGGTGGATCCTCGAAGTCAGAGGCTTTTGCCAGAACTCCTAGCATTCTATGTTTTGGACGACGCAGATAGATAAAAACATGCCTGAAGCGGAGGATGAGACTGCTATTTTGTCAAAATGTGTCCGCATTTCATGAAGCATGTATCTCTATATATATATATAGAGGATTTCTTCATCCATGTCAGCCACAATGGTTTTGACTCTGCCATAGCCAGTTACTGCATGCGGAGCAGTTCACTGTGAGTTCGTGATGTATCTGGCTCGAGCCATGGATATCCATGGATTATATATGTGCACAGAACATGTACTGTATGTAGGATCAACAAATGAACGACAACCGGGCCATCTCAGTCTAAGGGTGATGAGGGAGACCCCTGAACATATTCAATATGTTCACTGATTTGGCCTTCTTACACATACACTACTCAAAAAGTCATTTTCAGATAGTGACAGTGCCACAGAGTATCCTTGAAGGCATGCAACTATTCACATGCAGCCAGGGATTCTGCAATGATTGCCAGCATTTGGATTTCACTGACCAACCATGCAGTGGTGTCTTTTGCAGTCAACAAATAATGGGTGACCTTGTTCCTGTTTCGCACGAAGCATGTCGATAGTGCTTAGGATCTGACAAGTTCTTTAGACACCTGCAGTAGTGCTGGCTTGATGGGGCACGCCAAATGAGACCACTTCACTCTTCTACATCAAATAGAAGGGGCAACCCGATTTTTTCAGCGTCCTTTTGTGGAGAATCGCAGTTTGACCACCTCTTAGGGAGTCGTACAGGACTCCTAGTGTTCAGATTCAGACTCTCATTGTTTCTTGAAGTTCTTTCGTTGTTCGGATGCTTGGGCAGCTTCCAGCGCTGTGACGGGATGGCTTCGTCGCAGGCCTCCAAAACCATTTGAGACTCAGACCACCCGACTAGTTGAACACCTAAAGTCACCTACTGTAGATCCGTAGTCTTCAAACTGGCCAAACTCTGTAGGCTGTGGCTTCTGATTAATTATAAGTTATACACATTTCTTGTTGGATCAGAAATACACATGACAATGGAGACCTCAAAGTATTGAACCACGAGATACTGATTTGCAAATCAAGCTCTCAGCTGAGAGGCCACCCATGAAGTATGAAGTCTGCATTTGCGCAGGGTCCTCAGGTCCCAACAACCCAACCATCATCCTCATTGCTCAGGGGCCATCCGTGAGCTTTGGGGAGATGATGGCCAAGGCGCAATCTTGCCTCTTGCGATTCCCCTTCGATGTCCTTTGTTGTGAGCTGTGTTCACGGCAGTGTCTCGCAGATTGTTGCCCCCTTCACCCAGTAGTGGTTTAGTGGTTTGCCGTGTCACCAGTTGTGGTGGCCAGGTTGCATCCTTCATGTTGAAGCCGTTGTCCTCCAGCTTGCTTTATTGCCAGTTTCTGCCCTCATTGCATGACCAACATCACTAGGATATTGTTTTGTTGAAACTTTGCGTTGCTGGCCGTGCTGTTTGAAGTCTCTCCTTGCTTTTTGCGTCGCCTAGGCCTAGTTGTTCGATAGGCCCTGCTTCCATTGGTTGTGACCATTGACAGCTTCTGCAGGCCCGCGACCTCAGGAAAGCCGATGTTCCAGAGGAGGCGGGTCTAGAGCTGTGAAGGTTGTGAACGTACTTCTGTTGAGGTGTACCTATTTTTCATGACGTGTTTTAACACCGGACCTTGACTATTGTTCTGAAGTCTAGTCCCTTCTTGTTGTGCCGGGCTGAGTTGCATGTTGGGGCGTTTTGAAACATCCACAACTTACTTCAACACTGCACCTGGTGCATCCTGTGCAGGAGAAGAAGAAGGTCAAGAAAGAGAAGGCCATGCAAATTTCTCTGACAATGTGGCGATGATATGTGACGCTGTTGCCATTTGTAGGGCCTTGTAGGGGTAAGTTTCACATACTCTGACTCTTTGATGAACGATACTGCAGAGAATAGCAATGCAAGAATCTGCTAAAGCGCTGACCAATCTCTCAAAAATCTCCGCAGCACCTTCTCTTTGTGAGAGCAGCAATATTTGTGCCCTTTAGAAGTTGCAATCGATTGACATCAGTTCTCCCGTTATCATCCGTTGTCCATGCTGAGTGTCATTGGATGTCATTGGAGGTTGCTAAAGCAAGGGCTGCACCCAAGAAAGATGACAAAGCCAAGTCAGCAAAGGCTGTGAAGAAGGAGAAGAAATCTAAGGGGCCCAAGGGGCTTAAGGCAAAAAGCGCCAAAGAAGCCAAGGCCAAGGCCAAGGCCAAAGCAAAGGTGAAGAAAGAGTTGAAGGTGAAAGCTAAGGCCAAGGCCAGATGGGCCAGGGGTGGTTTCGGTGGGTTCGAAAGAGTTTGTTTGCATGGTGAAAGACAACTTGTCCACGATGTTTGCATGTAGCGTCCTTGCTCCTAGTAGCGATACCCTTTCTTACTAGTAGCGTCCTTGTCAGTTTGGAAGGACTCCAAGCCGAAGGCCAAGCCAAAGGCAAAAGCAAAGATCAAGTTGAAGCTTGAGAAAGTGCGAAGCAGCATCCAGAAGAGGAGGGAGTGACCGGAGCCGACCAACTTCCTGGTTTGGTCGCAACAAGGGCATCGCTACTAGGGGCTCCTGGCATCGCTACTAGGAGCAAGTAGCTACTAGGAACAAAAACCATGGGAATCGCGGCATGTCCATGTCTCCACTTCTTGAAACTGATGACAGGAGGGAAAAAGTGGCCAAAGAGAGCCAAAGCCGAGGAGCGTCCAAGCGTGAAGATCAGACATCCCTGGACTGGTGCAAACGATTTTACAAGTTTCAGGCTTCGCCCTCAGTACATCCTTGGCAGCTTTGCCCCTTATTTGCTGATTTGATTGGTTTGTCATGAAATGAGATTGTGCGGGGTTTCAAAGAGAAAGCAATGTCTTGCCTTTCTAAGTCCACCTTCATCGATCAGGCCGGAGCCTTGGGTGTTGGAGATGAGAGGTGGATAGGACCAAAAGCCTAGGTTCGACCAAGGGAACATTCTGGTGCCATGAAAATTCATTTCGATGTCTACTTAGCCCAAACGTTCAAGCGTATTGTCTCAGGCAGAGTTCAACAGGTTGCATGCCAAGAAGTTGAATGGCATGTTAGGCACTAGTAAGCTCGCCGTGAACAGTATGTATAATATTTATAATGGCAGTTCATCACATGCTTGTAGGTCCTGTCCGTCCCAAACATGTGTTCTTAGGTGGTGGAGAGCGACTGGGAGGTGTGCTTCGGCGCGCTGGGAAGTGGTCTGGTTGGAGTCCGATTTCTCCACAAGGCTGGACTATGTCGGTCAGTTACTGTTGTGGAAGGAGGCGCGGTTTCTGGTTGAGGTCGAGGTTAAGCATGGTGTAGACCTGGATTTACATTGGTGGGTTTGTAGCTTTGAGGGGGTTCATGATTGACTTCGTGGTTTGCAGGGATACCGGGATACCCGTTAACGGCAGAAAGTTGGCTGAGAATGGTCGGGTCCCCCTGTTGATCAATACATGCTCCGACACCGACACATTGCTGTATGTTGCACAAGCCAACCCTTCAACCCTTGTTACTAGTAGCGTCCTTGTTCCTAGTCGTAATGCCAGGAGCTACCAGTAGCATCCTTGCTCCTAGTAGCGATGCCCTTTGTTACTGGTAGCTGAGCCTCTGTGTCTTGGAACAAGATGAACAAGTCTGACCTCAACCGTGGAAGGCCTTGCCAGAAACGCAAGCGCCTCCTGCAGTTGGAGAAGGCCTTGAAAACGTGCCTGAGCATCTGGTATGTTCATTCTTTGATACTGCAGCAAAAGCATGACCAGGATTGAGAGCCAGATGCTTTTGTGTCAGTGGACACCTGTCGGCCCTAGAGGCGATGATCCTTCTTGCTTGGTTGCTTCCGCAGTGCCGGCAGCTCCCAAAGTTGGGACCTCAATGATGCTTCCTCCTATGGTTTCAACTTTTTGGTCTTGCTTGTTGGGAGTCTCAAACAGCTGCTTTCAATCGTGAGCACAATATTCAAGTTGTGAACACGATGACCTTGAACCCCTTGGGATTCCGATCCTGCTTCACCATAAGCAGTAATGAGAAAAGCAGCTCAGGTAAAGCTACAAAAGAATGATTTGCTGGTTCTGTGTGGGTCCTCAGTTGTCAATGGCATGTTCTGAATCCAAAAGAGATACCGCATCCGCATTGGTAGTTTAGCTGGACCAGAGGCAAATCAAGGAATGTCCTGCATAACACGTTTTGAAGATTGTTCTCTGGTGGCAACGCGGACTGACGTTTTCTACCTCGTCCATTCCTTTGCTTTCCACCGTAGAGTGTACTTGGCTTCTATGCTGAGCTCTCTCAGCTCCTCCGTTTTCTGGATGCCCAATGCAGTCCCGTTTTTCTCAAATTGACAAACCTTTGGGCTGGTGGCGTAGTTGCCGGGGTTACGGGGTTAATCCGAGGCATCCGCGCGGTAAAAACGGTAAAAAACGAAAAAAAATCTTTACCGTTTTCCCCGGGGGCAGGGGCACTCGGTTTTTGTCCACCATATCCGCGGTAAAAACGGTAAAAAACGATTTTTTTTCCCGTTTTTACCGGGGGGGCGCTCCTTTTTTCTGTACCGTATCCGCGGTCAAAACGGTAAAAAACGAAATTTTTCTTTTTTTTTTTACCGTTTTTACCGGGGGGGCGCCCCTTTTTTCTCTAC